CACACACACACACACACACACACACACACACACACACACACACACACACACACACACACACACACGGTGAAATTTGGCTCGATTTCAACAGAAATGCAGGCTGAATTTTATTATAAAGCAGTCAGAATTCAGGACAGTTTCTCGCAGCTGTGAAACCAAAAGATGTTTGAAAAAGGATCATAAAAGGAAACAACACTTTAAAAATTCAGTTGTTTTAAGTGGAAAACAAACTCATCTTTGTCATAAATGTAGACTATTTTGCAGACAGTCATTTTAGTGGGAACTAGACTTAACAAGAATGTAGTTTTTGGAGCTCATGCTGCAAATGATATCTTTATTTTAGAACAAAAAAAGAATTTTCTGCATATTTTGCAAACTGAAGACGCACAAATGTTCGTTTTCCCCGACTTGTGTCACGTGAAGTTCAGAGTAAAACAAACTGCACATAACTCCTCTCCACAGAGCTTCTGCAACTTGTTCTATATGGAAACTGTTCTGAAAAGCATCAGAGCAGAATCATCTTACCTAAACCCCAGAAAGCACTTGGTGTACAGGCTGCGAGAGGCGCAACAGAAAAAAGCACCGTTTCCACTTTAAACGCTCCAGTCAGATAATCCAGACGTTTTGCACGAATAAGCTGCTCGGATTCTCCATGAATCCTCCCTGTTTGCCCTCTCAGATTTCCGCTACGCAGAGCCGAGATCCTGAAGGAGCCTCTACGAGACGCTGCTTGGTTCCTTTCGGAGCATTTTAACCACGTCTCGAGCCCCCCTCGTCTCGTTTTGTGAGCCGAGCCCCTGGTAGCACTTAGCGCTAAGCTGTAGCCGAATCTCGATGGAGCAGGTCGGACATCTCCTTCTCCCCTCCTCTCCCTGTCAGTCTCTGCTGCTTTGTCAGCTCCACGGCTCCCTCTCCTCCCTCTGCTGCGTGTCAGCGGCCAAACAGCGCCGAGCGGAAACGGAGTCCGGACACGTAAGAGGAGGGGGGCAAGGGGGGGACGGACCGAGGAGGAGGAGAAGGAGGAAGAGGGGGGATGTTGCTTGAACACGAATGACACTACATCCCAAAAATACTGATTCCTTCCAGGTCCCCACCCCTGGTTTTCTTATTTGTCCACTCTAAACCACTCTGTAATCCCAGGCTGTAATCCATGTGATGTTTGCAGCGTCACGTGCCATTACGCGCAGTTTTACGCACACCTGTACGCACGGTCTTCACATGTTGTGCAAATGTTTTTGTCACTCATTTTTTAACTATTTGTGTCTATTAAGAATTGTTTTTGTCAGGTTTATGTTTTTAAATATAATAAAAATTTTGCGACAGTTTAATTGCAGAAAATTGTTTAAACTTTTTGTTTCCGATGTGTTTTCAGACATGAGCTAAGACGCAGTTTTCCAAAGTGAGCAAAACGACTTTTAAACATTAAATGGGAAAACATTAACTAATAATTTTAGACCTAAGTCTCTGCACAGGTTTTATTTACAGTTTAAATTCTGACTAAATTAATCCGCAATTGATTCTGATCCCATTTTCCATAAAAAACCCGATTCACCTTTTACTTAAATTTGTAAAGGAAAAAAAAAAAGAAAAAACATTTAGCTCAGCCTGTTTTTCAGAAAGAAAATCAAAACATTTGAAACTTTCAGAGAAAAAAGTATGGATTTGATTGTTTTACATTAGGTGTAAAAACACATTTTCTCATTATGGTTCTGACCCTGTGAGCTGTTTTATGTAACAACAGCAATGCTTATTACGTTTGAATTGTTTTTGTTTGAAAACCTGATCTATTTCTGAATCCTATTATTTTGTAGGCAACATCAGCACAGATGATTGTCACTGTCTTGATAATAAAAAAGAATCAAATCCTTTGTTCCTGAGAGAAAAGAAACAGCTGGTCCTTGTTTAATAACTTCAAAACAAATCAAAATGCTATTAGTTGGATGAGTTAGTGGAACTTTATGTAAAAAAAATCAAATCTTTAGCAAAAAAATCTAATAAAAGTAATTTCTGGTAATATAAATGAAGCACGCAGACACACACTGGCAGGATCTGATCTTTCCAACTTTAAAACTTGTTCAATCACATCTTATCTTATCATATGAACTGATCTGAGGAAAAAAAAAACACCGCAACAAGTTTTCAAAAAATTAAACAAAAAACACATCATTATCAGTTTCATGATGCAGAAAAGAATCCAATGAATGTTGGCTATTAATCTTTTTTTCAAATTAAATTCATATATTTGTTCAAATGTTGTTTGTTTGGGGAATATATTTTACACATTTATACAGAAATTAAATAGAAAATAAGATGAGCAACACGCTACAGTCCTAGATAATAAATAAATACCACAGGGTCATGTTTTAGGTAATAAATAATGCAGGATTTGCACTGTTAAAAGGAAAAACTGCAGCGTTGAATCTGACCGGAAGTTCCGTCTATCAAGTAAAATAAACAAACACGCAATATCACTAAAGAAACTTCAGAAAATGCGACTTAAAAGGTGAAATAAACCCATGCCTGATGCGTGCATGATGAGAAAACAAACTGGAGGCCATACACACACCGACACATAGGCCTATACACAAAAACACACTCACACAAACATACAAAAACAAGCAACAACAAAATCCTAAGGTGATTGCTAATGACTTTAACTTGTTTTCACCAGACTAAAACAATGTATTATTTGAAGACACGCAGCTCTATATCAAACGAAGAGTTTTTTTTGTTTGTTTATTAAATATATTTTTTGTCTAAACCAGCCGCTCTTGAATGAGGGGAAGACTGGAAACCATCACGTCAGGTTTTTTCCAGCTGGAGTCCCAGTGTTACGGAAGAATAATTAATGGCACCTACATTTAAAACAACACGCGCGCACTGAAATAAGTCATGATTATGGATTAGACAAGAAAAACGTGCACGTTCTGTCATCGAATCATATTTGCGCACGATCTCAGCTCAAACGATTACCATAATCTTTAACATCTAATTGACTGAACATTTATTTCTGCATTTGTTGTAGGATTCATTATCTATCTTGTTTATAGAAATATTTTGTTAATCTAAATATTGCTTAATTATAAATGTACCTGTTATTAAAACTTTCTTTACCAACATTTTACCAAATAGCACGTGGGACATGCACAGATATCTAAATCAACGTGACTCTGCAGGATAATTATAATAAAGAAAAAAAAAATCTTGGGTCACCTCATTTCCTGTTCTTAAATTTTCTAAAATTGAGATGTCAAAGTAAAATGTAGTAAAGACTGTCTATAATAAAATATATAAACGTGCAAAAATAAATGTCCGGATTTTGCATTTACTCTAAAACTATAAACTAAATGCATGGATGTACCGATAAGTTTTATTCTGAAAAGACTGTAAACGGAAACGTTTTTATATATGTAATAAATAATGACGATAAATAAATTATAAATATGGATAGATAATCAACAACATGTCTTCATGGTAATGGCTTTAATCATGAACAAAACAGTCATTCAGCAGGCTGCAGGAACTTATAAATAAATTCGGTGTAAACCTCAAACCAAAATGAAGTCTGGAGGAGCGACTCTAACAATCAAAAGTCAGCACAAAACAATTGGCCTCTTGTTAAATATTACCAGCCTTGCCTTGGATATTGAGTATTTGCACTAAAAGCAACGATACAACTCGGTATTACACACATACACACTCACACACTCCTTGCACACGTGTCTTACCTCCTGCTTGTCCAGTGCAGTTCAGTGATTTGATGCTCCTTCTTGTTTAAAGTCTGGACTTGAGCGGGCAAGGCCGGTGAAAATGCTGCTGTGGCTAACCACTGTGGTGCAACTTGTTGATCAAAGACAGGAGTTCTGCAACAGAGACCTGCAGCTGTGAGGTTTGTGGCCTGGAAAAACAAAATAAAATAAAACAAACAAAAAAACAATAAATATCCAGTTTGGCTTTCAGGAGCTGAGGAGAGAAGGACAGCAAAAGACTTGAACGTGATAACCAAATGATGTTTTATTTTGGACGGATGGCACATTTCTGAAACAGAGGATTGAGTCATTCCTCATCAGGCATCTGCTTGTGTGTTCAGTTAAAGCTCTGATGTCAGACGAGGAAGCACGTGTGAATGATTATTTTCTACAAAATGCATCTTTAAAGTTATTTCTTTTAAAACAGCTAAACGCTGACTACAAAGCGACAGGTTTTCCGTGCGCCTTTACGCATTCGGTGCGTTTTTACGCATTGGCGCCCCATTCCGCCACGTTGCGCAAAAGCGTTCAAGTAAAACAAACTGAGATCCATTTTGTGCAGAAACTGTAAGTGATTTGACTGATGTCTGAGAGGTGATGAGATGAGCTCCGACTCAGCTACCATCCTCCTCTTTATTCCCTCGACATTTTTTCGGTTTCTAACCTCCTTCCCTAATCCAGCCTGGTTTCACCCTCCATGGCCACACATGGGCCTGTGGTCCGCCACTCGCCCCAACTCTTTTTTAGCTGTCTCGTTATTCCCCCCCCCCCCCCCCTCTCCTCACTCTCAACCTCCTGAATGAGTTTATCCTTGTTCCACTACAGGAGGCAGAGATAAGGTATCAGGGGACGTCATGGCAACGCGAGGGGCGCGCATGCACAGTCACACAGAGGGTCCTACTTGAACGACCTGAGGAGTGGGCTCAGTGGTGGCGGTGAGCTTGGGGCTGACACATTTCTGCTAACAATCACATCACACAGGGACTCACATTCCAACTTCCTGATCACTCCCCTCGCCCCCAATACACCGCCCCCCTCCACCCTCTATGCCTCCTAATGTTCATCCTCCCCCCACAGGACCGACTCTATTCGGCACTCAGAGATGTTAGAGCTAATGCACTTTATAAATAAAATGAACTGGATTGATCTGCATGTGAATGTTTGAAAAATTATGAAACCTAGGGCAGGCAATTAAACTTATTTGTGCACATCTGGATATACAGTTCATTTTGACTCGTTCTGCAGGATGAAGCATTTCATGTACTCTGCTTCCATCTAGTGGTCATTTTAATGCATTACAACTAAGCAGGGTGCCATTTCAAAATGCTGTGTCTTGTTTATTTAGATTATTTTAACGTCTTTAAAATGAGGTATTGTAAATATCAACTATATTAAAATATACTACGCACTATGGAAAAAAGCAAGCAATTGATTTTGGTTTCATTTTTATGTATATTTTAACACAATAAATAAAGTAATTAAAAGTTGTTTCAGCTGAAGCAAACAGATTTAACGTTATCAGCTATAAAGATCTGTCTTCTACAAATATTCTTGAGTGTTTTAATTTTTTAATGCACACAATTTTAGCAAATTGCAGTTGGTCAAATCAAAACATTGCAGACTGAAAGCACAGGAGGCATGCTTTGTCTTTAGCAGTGATTTTGTTCAAAACACTAAATAAGCAAAGTTTAAAAAAGTGTATAATCGGAAGACAGATGTACAACATGATTCAGCAGTTCACCAATAAATGAAAATTAAGGTATCTGAAAGTAATTAAATTTGGAAAACAAAAAGAAAAAATTAATACAAGAGATTTGTTTGTGCAGTCAAATATATTACAATTTTCAGTTGTAATTTTGTACGCTGTAAAATTACAGAAAAAAAGTTGCTGGCGATCTAAACTTGACACAAATAAAATAAAATCTTTTCTGATCCCTGCATAACAAAATCAAAAATCCTATCAAACACAGTCATTGTGCGATGCAAAGGCTGTCAGTGATCTCTGAAATACTCATGTCTCTGTGTTGAAAAAACAGAGGCTCTCATAACACATTTGTGTTTAACATTATTTATTATCACCTGCCACCTACAGAGCTGAGCTAATGAGCATGGGAGTGACTCGGTGTGGTCTGCTCCAACCACGTTCACAGATCCTCAGGGCCTGTTGGCCATCACGTCTCACTTCAGTCAGGTCAAAGCACATTCAACTCTGACTTGTTCAAATGCACAAATTATGACTGCAAAGCCAAAAAAAAAATGTATTTGGTGTTTTCTTTGCTTCCTTTAGAGTCTGATAAATCAATCTGTAACTTTGAATCTTTAAAACATGTTGCCTGAATAAAAATTCAACAAGAACAGAAAAC